CAGTATATATATTGCCAACGAAAGTGTAGTTTGATTTTCACAAAATCGCAAACCTACATTATAAAGAAACTGTATCAAGAAAGGTAACTCGAATAACTGAAACGGCAACTTCACAAAGTTAAAGCAATCTATCCCCTATTAGGATACTAGATTGAATAATGTTGAGAATCGTCAATTTATAACGACAGGTGCCACATTTGGAGCAGGATCTGCTTACCCTTCCGGAGCACCTGAGATCACCCCAGTTTTTGGTGGGGTTCGTGTTGCTTAGTCTTTAGTTTTCTAAGTTGTGTCTTGTGTACTATTATTTGTCTGTTTGTCTTTTTCTTTTTTAGCCATGGCGTTGTCAGTTTATTTTCGATCTATGAGTTTGACTGTCTTTCGTCCCTCTTTTTAAGGGCATTTAATATCTTAAATAAAACTATTCTAATTAAATGACGGAAGATTTTGCCATTTTATGTAATATAAGTAACGGCTATTTTAAAACACTTATTAAACAGCCAAATGAATGCACAAAAGTAAAAATAGGAGTCACAAATTCGATTGAATACAATTCTCTGCTCAATTTTATTGATTGTGTAACGTTTGTTTTATATTTTACAAAAAAATCATCAGCACCGTATCAGGACCCACCAGCACAGAATCAGGACATGTCTAAACTGACAAAATGCATAATTTTGATAAATTGCACAGGTTGTTCACAAAATAATTTTGTCGTGTGAATTTGGGTATAGAAAGCAGAATCCAGGAGCATATTTTTTTTATTATTTCAGTTCTAGATTTTCTAAAAATGAGCACTTTTGTGGTACGCTTACTGAAACAGTTTAGAGGGTCACATTTTTAATTGTTTGCCTTTGAACCCACAAGAGACAAAATTAAAACATCTTTCATTTGGTTTTGAGAAAACGTCAAAAATCTTAATTTTCGTCTTTGTTTACATATTTTCAATAACCACCAGCACCAGTCAGCGCCAAATCACCAGCACAGAACGTTCTATCGTAGGACAACCTTACCCACCATGTGCGTAAATATACTTTTGTAAAAGAGGCAATGCAGTTCACACACTATAAGCTTAAATGTTTATCTTTACTAAAACTTCGCGATGTATTTTATGAACAAAAATGTAATAGATAAAAACAAAATACCGTTTTCGTTGGATATTATTCGGTGCAATGAGATTGGAAAACTTCCCCTGTATTTTTTTTAACTTGCAAGCTAAATGCGTGTATTTAAAATTCTGCATCGCTATAAACCAAATCTAGTAAGTTCGAATCCGAAAGACATTACATTATAAACCTTCTTTATCAACTAGACTCAAGCTGGCAGACACTTTTAGCAGCCAATCAAGATAGCAGTCTTTATCATGATAGGTTGGTAATAACTATACACGTTCGAACTTATTCTTTGAATAAAGAAAGTCTGTGAAGTAATTTTTATTATGTTGAATGCAAACGATATGAACCTACGAAGTCTTATATTATAGGACTAAGGGTGGAATGAATTTTTGTATAAAGCAATCAAATACTAGTAAACATAATTGAATTTGAATCTAGTTGAAATGACAGCAACATAATGCCCACAAAACAAAACTTCGAGTACACGAGGAGACCTTTCTAGCTTTAAAACGGTTCCAATTCCTTACTGTGAGCTAGAGCTAGCTTCGACCTTGGTGTCTTTTTTTTTTAATTACTTCGTTGATGAACTTATCACTGCTTATTACTTGCAAAATCTTCGTTCAAGTGAAAATTAAGAGTTGTTTAAATTTAAATTTCAAATTTCATCAAGGTCTCTTCTGTGAAACTGTCTGACGGGCTTCAAAGTCGACGGGATGAGAGGTCAATTATATTGTGAAAGCTGCAGACTACTGGTTCGATATAGAATTTTTTTCGACAAATTGCTTTGTAACCACTGTCATGATGTCGGGTGTATATTGAAATTAAAGAATGAAAATATACATATCATGCGTTCAAAACTTTTTATTTATAGATTTACCATCATCAAAACATTCTAACCTAAACATTTGAAATCCACGGAGGTATAATTTCGTAGAAGCGTAAGGAGAAAAATGATCTAAAGGAACCTAAAACGATAATAGAAAATCAGCGCTAACTTTGCAGAGGGAGTTGAAACCTTAGTTTTTTAAAACTGTTTTAATTTAAATAGCGAAGACGTTGAGACAACTATGTTATAAATCATGACAGTACCGAGTTATTGACTACTAAGCTGATGATATCATCGGAGACTAGCAGTTTACCAGCAGGTAGAAACGTACGAAGCTATATGGACGAAATGAACTAAAATAAAAGCCTTATTCACGTTAGGTTAACTTTGCCTGAGGGAGTTGAAACCTTAGCTTCTACGCAATTTTTTAACTGCCTAATAAGCTGGTGATAATCTTGGAATTTAAGGACCCACCAGCATTGGACTCACTGTTAGTAATGTTTTCTTTTATACGGAAGCCGATAAGGGTCATTCAAAAAAAAAAAATGTCGTAATTACGACATAACTATGTCGTAATTTCGACATAGCATGTCGTAATAACGACATCACTATTTCGTAATTACGACATCGCTATGTCGTAATAACGACATCCTTATGTCGTTATAACGACATCGCTATATATATATATAAAATAGTATGTATTATGATTGCCAAGTACGGAAGCCGATAAGGGCCATTCGAAAAAAAAAATTTATGTCGTAATTACGACATAGTATGTCGTAATAATGATATCGTTATGTCGTTATAACGACATATTATGTCGTAATTACGACATCCTTATGTCGTAATAACGACATCCTTATGTCGTAATTACGACATAATTTTTTTTTTCGAATGACCCTTATCGGCTTCCGTATAAGTATGTATATATAAAAAAAAACGTGCAAGGGACCTCAATATCGTTCAAGACAGAGAGGTTAAATCCTTTTTGAAAAAAAGGACCACAAAATCGTCTTCAATCTCAAAAAGATTGGAAACAGTGTCGTCAGGTCACTCAAGACACTATTTCATCGTAGTGTAAAAATTGGTGTAAACGGGAAAAATCTGATAAAAAATCTCTTTATTCTTATTTTAATAAATGTTTGAATGTAGAGGATATTCGAATATCCCCTTTTGAAAATAATTAAGAAATTGATTAATAAAAGAGTACATAAGATACCTATTTCTAGAATAAGAAATAAACTTTAAGAACTTTCAAAGCGGTTTGTGTTTGTACCGACCAACAAAGCAGCCAACAATGTAGGGATGGTTTGCCGAAAATACTACACGAACGTTCTTAAGAATGAAATTTCAAATTCATCTACATTCAAGTCTGTGCGCTCAACATATAGCCATATAGTAAACAAACATATCATAACCACAACACAGCTAAAGGACTCTTCTGAACATTTGAAGGTCCCTTCTATATATTGGTTACCTAAACTACACACAAAACCTGTAAAATATTGTTTCATCTCGGCCTCTAGTAAGTGTTCTACAACTAATCTTTCAGTGCTTTTAACTAGTTCTTTAAATGCTATCAAAGAAATTATTATCAAATTTTGTAATTAAATATATGAAAATAGCGGAATTAACTATTTTTGGAGTGTAAAAGATTCTTTTGATGTTGTAGAGAAACACGTGTTTTTAATGGTCATTTTGATTCTGTTGACAGTTTTGACCTTTCAACTCTCAACACTACACTTCATAATATTCTTATAAAGCAAAAATATTCCTATTTTATTAATAATTTGGTAAATCTGAATGCAAATATAATTGCTGCAACTCATTAAATGTATTCTATTCTAATGAGAAAGGTAATTATGTTAGGCTGTTAGTTTTCTCGTTTGAATTGTTTTACATTTGTGATTTCGGAGCTACTTATAGCTGACTATACGGTATGGGCTTTGCTCATTGTTAAAGGCGGTACGGTGACCTATAGTCGTTAATTTCTGTGTCATTTTGTCTCTTGTGAATACAATGTACTAGTTGTCTCGTTGACATTTATACAACATCTATTTTTATATATACACAAGAGTTAGTTTAGTAGATATGCATGGTTTGGTTCTATAATTTGGATAACACTTACATTTCAAGAAATTCGTTTCATATGACTTTAAATTTGTAATACTTTTTCAAAATTAAGTGTATACTGCAGTACCTCAAACAAATTAATACGTCGATTCTTTTTTCTATGGTTATAATTATCATTGACAGATTAAATCTTCTTAAATAACTCTTTCGGACAATATTGTGCGATTGTCATGCATGTGAGTGGTTTAAGGTTTTATTAGCTAGATATAAAACCAGGTTTATTCCCACAATTTCTACATAAGGAAATGCCTGTACCAAGGAAAAATGTGACAGTTGTTATCCATTCTTTTGATGTGTTTGAGCTTTTGATATTGCCATTTGACAAGGGACACTCCGATTTGAATCATCTTTGGAGTAAGGTATTTTTGTTATATTACTTTATACAAGCTTATCGGTATAAGTATTTAGATGTCTTTCTACGCAAAATGTTACAAAATATTTAGAATTCAAGTGTTTATACAAACTATGTGTGTGTTAATTGGTAGAAAAAAATACAACTGAAATTGTAGACGTATTTTTTATATTTCACACACTTGATATTAATCGTGATTAGAAAAATACAATTGTGAAAGGGTTGCAATAATAACACCAATAGATTGAAAATAAGATATCGCTTTCATTAATGAAAAACACTTGTTATTGATCAGGCTATTTTTTTCTTTTGAAACATTTCATATTTTGTCATGTCGGGGCCTTTCTTAGTCGGGGCCGTTCTTAGTCGGGGCCGTTCTTAACTTATTATTCGATATTGCCTTTATTTATTATTGAAGGTGATATGGTGACCTATAATTACTTACAACCATTTCATTTGAACTCTGGTAGATAGTTATCTCATTAGCAATACTACCAGATCCCCTTATCTTTTTTTTAATGTATGCACAGCTGTTAATAATTAACTAAGCATTCAATTCTTATTTATTTTACAGACAGCGATAGACTAAATTCTCCCAAAAAAATTCCTACATCACAACTGATTGGAGGGTGAAATGGGAAATAGTCAAACCTGTGTCGATTGCAAAACCGAAGTTCCGAAAAAAGTCAAATGGCTTGATAAAATACATGACGACTGGGGACGAAGATTAAGTAAATGGAAAAACAATGAAATATGGATTAAACTTGGTTCTGACAAATACTTGTGCTCTCCTTGCTTGATAAAGCGACAGAATCAAGAAAGACAAAAGCTACAAGAAGAGCAACAAAGACAGGAAAACGAAAAAAGAAAACAAGATGAAAATCAAAGAGAGGCAGAAAATCAACAAAAAGAAATGCACAGACGAAAGGAAATGCAACAGAAACTAAGAAAGGAGGCAGAACGCAGACAAAGGGAGGAGGCAGAACGCAGACAAAGAGAGGAAGCATTACGCAGACAAAGAGAGGAAGCAGAACGTAGACAAAGGGAAGAAGCAGAACGCAGACAAAGAGAAAAAGCAGAATGCAAGCGAAGGGAGGAAGCAGAACGCAGACAAAGAGAGGAAGCAGAACGCAGACAGAGAGAGGAGGCAGAACTAAGGCGAAGGGAGAAGGCAGAACGCAGACAAAGAGAGGAAGCAGAACGCAGACAGAGAGTGGAGACAGAACGCAGGCAAAGGGAGGAGGCGGAACGCAGACAAAAAGAGGAAACAGAACGCAGACAAAGAGAGGAGGCAGAACTCAGAAAAAGAGATGAGGCAGAACGTAGGCAAAGGGAGGAAGCAAAACGCAGACAAAGAGAGGAAGAAGAATGCAAGCGAAGGGAGGAAGCAGAACGCAGACAAAGAGAGAACGCAGAACGCAGACAAAGAGAGGAGGAAAAACGCAAACAAAGAGAGGAAGCAGAACGCAGACAAAGAGAGAAGGAAGAACGCATAAAAATGGAGGAAACAGAACGCAGACAAAGGGAGGAAGCAGAACGCAAACAAAGGGAGGAAGCAGAACGCAGTCAAAGAGAGGAGGCAGAATGTAGACAAATGAAGGAAGCAGAAAGCAGACAAAGAGAGAAATCAGAACGCAGACAGAGAGAGGAGGCAGAACGAAGAAAAAGGGAGGAAGCAGAATGCAGACAAAGAGAGAAGGCAGAACGCAGACAAAGGGAGGAAGCAGAACGCAAGCGAAGGGAGGAAGCAGAAAGCAAACAAAGAGAAGAGGCAGAGCGCAAACAAAGAGAGGAAACAGAACGCAGACAAAGAGAGGAGGCAGAACGCAAACACAGAGAGGAAACAGAACGTAGACAAAGGGATGAGGCAAAACTTAGACAAAGGGAGGAAGCAGAACACAGACAAAGGGAGAAGGCAGAACGCAGACAAAGGAAGGAAACAGAACGCAAACAAGTGGAGGAAGCAGAACGCAGACAAAGAGAAGAGACAGAACGCAGACGAAGGGAGGAAGCAGAATGTGTTGAAAAAGCAAAGGAATTCTTACTTTACGAGGAACGATTTTCCGATTGGCAAAGACGAGAAAACGGAGCAAAGAATGAAGTAGAATATTCACAAATCCTTCAACGGTTTCCGCCAAAAAGCATAATTTCAAATATAAAAAAGCTTTCAACTTCTAAAGACATCTCAAATTCTAAAAAGGAACCACAGATTGATAACCCACAGCAGAAAGATGATAGGTGTGTCGTACAAGAGTTGATTGACACAGGTCATATCAATGAGGACGCGAGTGCAACAATTAGTAACGTACTTCTGGCAGTTCAGAAAAAAATTCAAAACTATGAAAATCAAAATAGATATCATAGAATGAGACAATCACCAGATCATCGTTCAGTTCGGAGGTTTTGCTCCCAAAGGTCAAATTTTGCTGACAACGAAAAACAATTTTCCGACTGTATTTTTGAAATATGTTTAGCTGTGAAGTTGACTAAAAGTTATTGGCCTAGGAATACCCAGATTACATCATTATGTTTGTTGGTTAGAGCAATACAAAAAGGGATTCTTTTAGAAATAAATACTGGTGAAGGGAAAACGTGTATCATCGCAATGTTTTCTGCATTTCTTGCTTCATGCGAAATTAATATTGATATTGTGTCAAGCTCGCCTATTTTGGCTCAACGGGATTTCATAGAGTGGAAAGAATTTTACAAATCATTAAAGGTTTCAGTCAGCTGTAATTTAATTCCAAAGAAAACAGTTGAACGACTTAAATGTTACTCACATACGGTCGTTTATGGGACAGTGGCGTCATTTGCATCTGATTTACTCAGACAAACTTTTTTAATGGATAATGTTCGCGGTGAAAGGAGGTGTGAGGCTGTCATTGTTGATGAAGTAGATTGTATGCTACTTGATCAAGGTGTTCATTTTACATATCTTTCGCATGCTGTACCAGGAATGCATCATATAGAACCTATTTTATTTATGATATGGAAGCATATTATTAAACATGAGAGGATTGTTTCAGAAAAATCTGAGCACTTTTTCCTTGGGGTTTTAGACTCTTTGCCAATAGTTTTGTCATCATATATTGATTTGAGTGAATTTTATATGGAGACAGACATTCCTCCTGAAATTCAATGGTTATATCTATTTAAACAGAAAAACCTTTTCAATGCTGACTTTAGTACATATTTGTTAAAAGGGAATACCTCGGAACTTCAAGACATTTTTACGATTGAGAAGATTTTAGAATGTTTGGAATTCGTTGAAGAAGAATTCAACCTTCCAATTAAATTTCAACCATATACCATAGTTAATGAGACAACTGTTCGAGCCGTTCAATGGGGACATTCATCACATGCCACAAAAGAACAAATAATTCATGTTTTGGTTGTTGGGAAAGGCTTAGTATGTGTACTTCATCCGTATGAAGACGAAAAAGAAATACACAATTTTATAAAAGATGAAGTAAAAAATTACATTTCATTTGATGGATGCAAACCAGACAAACATCATATCCCAGCTTATTTAGAAGAGTACGTACAAAATCGTCTCATTTCGTGGATAGAAAATGCATTTACAGCAAAACATATGCTCAACGGACGAGAATATCTTGTTAAAGATAATGATGTGGTTCCTGTAGATTTTGAGTCAACGGGAGTTGTTCAACTTGATACCAAATGGGGAGACTGTTTGCACCAGTTTTTAGAAATAAAACATGGGAAGAAATTAAGTCAAATAACTTTAGTAACGAATTTTATGTCCAATCAAGAATATTTTCGTCGTTATAAGGGTAAAATATTTGGTGTATCAGGTACACTTGGTACAGAAAGGGAGAAATCATTTCTAAGGAAACAATTTAGCCTAGGCTGTCAAAAAATACCAACTCATCGGTCGAAAGTATTTGAAGAACTATCAGGAATAATATGCAACTCAAAACAGGAATGGATTATTGAAATACAAACTGTTGTGCGAGATCAAGTAACAAAAACGAAAAACAAAATGCAAAGGGCAGTTTTAGTCATATGTGAAGATATAAATACTGCAAAAGAATTGCAAGAAAACTTGAATCATACTGATTGTGCTTCCGCAGCACTTTATACAAGGAATGATGAAAATAATGATAAAATTGACAGCAAATTAAAAGCAGGAGATATTATTGTTGCAACCAATATTGCTGGTCGGGGAACAGATATTGATATAGATGATTCGGTTGAAAAAGCTGGAGGGTTATTTGTCCTTGTCACGTTTCTACCACAAAATTCACGAATTGAAAATCAACTTTTTGGCAGAAGTGCAAGGAAAGGTCAACCGGGTAGCGGACAAATAGTTCTTAATAGGCATAGTTTGCCATCATATTTTTCACTTTATAACTTAACATGTAACGAACCAGTTGAATCTTTCAAACATTTACGAGACGCAATAGAAGAAAAACGTATTTTAGATATTGAAAAACATGCATTTGAAGAAGTGAGACTGAAAGAAAATCTGTTTGCTCGCTATTGTTCGTTTCTCCATGAGATTAAGCAACATCTTAACTTCAAAGGTGTTGACGAGAAAATTATGTTAGACTCGTTACACGAATACTGGGGAATGTGGTTAAAGATGAATTGTGAGACAAAAGAAAACTGTTCTCGAACAGAAAACTTAAAACTCTTACTTAAGGATACTTTAAAAATTGCTAAAAACAGACTTAGCCGAAAAATTTCACCTTGCTCTAATGCTTCTCATATTATAAAATTTGCAAATGAACAGTTATTTGATAGAAACTACGCTCAATCAGAAGATCTTTTTACAAGGGCAATTAATATAGACAGAAAATGGGCAGCGATATCATTGTATAATAGAGCATACTGTTCTTTGCTAAACAGGAAACCAGGCTATATCACAAAGGCTATTGATGACCTATCAAACTCGCTAGAATGCTTTGCATTATTTAAAGAAGAAACTGTGTTATGTCTAACCCTTTCATCGAGCATAAACAATGAAAATAATAATGATGTATCAGTTAACGGTACTGCGTCACAGTTTAACTCACGTTGTCAAATTATTAACTACTTTGAAGAAAATATCAAAGTTTCACTACAACAACTTCGAGAATTTCAAAAAACAAAGAAGGAAGCGACAGCAGAGGGTACCAGTATTTTCACTATTGTTCTTGGGGACGATAACACCAGCAAAAAAATTGAATCTGAAATATATGTGTTCTGGGAGATGGGATTAACACAGTTAATTTTTGTAAAGGAAAAAAAGCCATTTTGTTGGAAAGGACTGTTGGTAGTAGCTCTTGGTGTACTACAAATTGCTGTTGGGGCTTTAATTATAGCATCTACAACTGGGATACTGACGCAGCTAGGGTGGGGACTTATAGCTGAAGGTGTCAATGATATTTGTACTGGAGCATATGCCGTGTGGAAAAGTGACCAAGAATTCATGAAGTCGTGGATGGTCGGCAAAGCTGTCAGCATAGCTGTATCTGTCGCTTCTTTTGGCTATAGCCAAGCTCAAACCGCTACTAAGGGTGTTAAAGGTGCAAGGGCAACTGTTGCAGCTGTGAAAAAACATTTCGAGAAAGGTGCAAAAAAGGTTTTTACTGAGTTAAAAACAATGGGATCTTTAATCACTTCAAAATCGTTTGGACCTGTCTTTAAGACTACATGTGTAGAAGTGGGAACTGAAGTAGGAAAGCAACTAGCAATGCGAGGAGAAAAATACCTATTAGAGGTTTTCCAAGAGAAAGTGAAATCGAAGTTTGCAGATATTGCAAGAGAAAGTATAAAAAAGGAAATTCATTTTGCGTTTACAGAAGGTCATATGTTTCCGGTAGTTGACGACTTTATAGCCTTCCATTGCAGAGACAGTACAGACAAAATTCAAGTTACGGCAACATATATGGATATAACAAAGAAGTTACTTTGCTCTGATAATATTATTCAATTTAGACAAGTCTTGTTAGGCTGTGTAAAAGATGTAATAAAAACAACGTCCAAACAACTGAAAACAAAGCAAAATGAATTATTTGAACAATGCAAACCAATTTTTGATATTATTAATAACATACAATGTGCATCATATGACATGAAACAGTTGGTAACAGTCTATTGTGACCATGTCAAGACTGCTCTAAACGACATTTATAAAGATTCATTAACAGGTAAAGCCTTCAGTTATTTTGAAAAAGGGAATAAGCAGCTGTGCACGATTAAACAGCAAATTATAGACCAAACAACGCAATTCTTGCTAAGCCTTTTAACAGAATCCTTCCAGTTTACAAATAGCGGCATATTGGCAGAAAAATTACAAAGTGCAGTTGAAAAATGTGTACAGGAATATGGGAACAATAAAGTTGGAAAAGATACAATCCAGAAAATAATTGCAATTTCCTCAAAAGCAGGACTAATTGGAAAAGATTTAACAACAACTGGAACAATTGATGTACAGGCTGTTGTTGAAACAGGATTGGATGCCACAGAAATTGTTGTTGATGTAGTCGCTGATGAAAATACTAAACAATTAGTAGGATTTGGTTTACGTACAACTAAAAAGGGTATAACTGCACTGCAATCTAGACAGACCTGTGATATTATTGATGCAGCAATCGATATTGCAGATGATGGCATCGACAAATTTGCAGACGATGACGTGAAATGTAAGGCAAACTTTGCTCTCACAGCAACGAAAAAGGGAGTAAAAGCTTATAAATCTGGAAAAACTGAAGAAATGTTTGATACAGTAACAGAGATCGCAGCTGACGGCATTGACAAATTTGCAGACGATGACGTGAAACGTAAAGCAAACTTTGCTCTCACAGCAACGAAAAAGGGAGTAAAAGCTTATAAATCTGGAAAAACTGAAGAAATGTTTGATGCAGTAACAGAAATCGCAGCTGACGGCATAGACAAATTTGCAGACGATGACGTGAAACGTAAAGCAAACTTTGCTCTCACAGCAACGAAAAAGGGAGTAAAAGCTTATAAATCTGGAAAAACTGAAGAAATATTTGATACAGTAACAGAGATCGCAGCTGACGGCATTGACAAATTTGCAGACGATGACGTGAAACGTAAAGCAAACTTTGCTCTCACTGCAACGAAAAAGGGAGTAAAAGCTTATAAATCTGGAAAAACTGAAGAAATGTTTGATGCAGTAACAGAAATCGCAGCTGACGGCATAGACAAATTTGCAGACGATGACGTGAAACGTAAAGCGAACTTTGCTTTCACAGCAACGAAAAAGGGAATAAAAGCTTATAAATCTGGAAAAACTGAAGAAATGTTTGGTGCAGTAACAGAGATCGCAGCTGACGGCATAGACAAATTTGCAGACGATGACGTGAAACGTAAAGCAAACTTTGCTCTCACAGCAACGAAAAAGGGAGTAAAAGCTTATAAATCTGGAAAAACTGAAGAAATGTTTGATGCAGTAACAGAGATCGCAGCTGACGGCATTGACAAATTTGCAGACGATGACGTGAAACGTAAAGCAAACTTTGCTCTCACTGCAACGAAAAAGGGAGTAAAAGCTTATAAATCTGGAAAAACTGAAGAAATGTTTGATGCAGTAACAGATATCGCAGCTGACGGCATTGACAAATTTGCAGACGATGACGTGAAACGTAAGGCAAACTTTGCTCTCACAGCAACGAAAAAGGGAGTAAAAGCTTATAAATCTGGAAAAACTGAAGAAATGTTTGATGCAGTAACAGAGATCGCAGCTGACGGCATTGACAAATTTGCAGACGATGACGTGAAACGTAAAGCAAACTTTGCTCTCACAGCAACGAAAAAGGGAGTAAAAGCTTATAAATCTGGAAAAACTGAAGAAATATTTGATACAGTAACAGAGATCGCAGCTGACGGCATTGACAAATTTGCAGACGATGACGTGAAACGTACAGCAAACTTTGCTCTCACTGCAACGAAAAAGGGAGTAAAAGCTTATAAATCTGGAAAAACTGAAGAAATGTTTGATGCAGTAACAGATATTGCAGCTGACGGCATTGACAAATTTGCAGACGATGACGTGAAACGTAAGGCAAACTTTGCTCTCACAGCAACGAAAAAGGGAGTGAAAGCTTATAAATCTGGAAAAACTGAAGAAATGTTTGATGCAGTAACAGAGATCGCAGCTGACGGCATTGACAAATTTGCAGACGATGACGTGAAACGTAAGGCAAACTTTGCTCTCACAGCAACGAAAAAGGGAGTAAAAGCTTATAAATCTGGAAAAACTGAAGAAATGTTTGATGCAGTAACAGAGATCGCAGCTGACGGCATTGACAAATTTGCAGACGATGACGTGAAACGTAAAGCAAACTTTGCTCTCACAGCAACGAAAAAGGGAGTAAAAGCTTATAAATCTGGAAAAACTGAAGAAATGTTTGATGCAGTAACAGAGATCGCAGCTGACGGCATTGACAAATTTGCAGACGATGACGTGAAACGTAAAGCAAACTTTGCTTTCACAGCAACGAAAAAGGGAATAAAAGCTTATAAATCTGGAAAAACCGAAGAAATGTTTGATGCAGTAACAGAGATTGCAGCTGACGGCATAGACAAATTTGCAGACGATGACGTGAAACGTCAAGCAAACTTTGCTCTCACAGCAACGAAAAAGGGAGTAAAAGCTTATAAATCTGGAAAAACTGAAGAAATGTTTGATGCAGTAACAGAGATCGCAGCTGACGGCATTGACAAATTTGCAGACGATGACGTGAAACGTAAAGCAAACTTTGCTCTCACAGCAACGAAAAAGGGAGTAAAAGCTTATAAATCTGGAAAAACTGAAGAAATGTTTGATGCAGTAACAGATATTGCAGCTGACGGCATTGACAAATTTGCAGACGATGACGTGAAACGTAAGGCAAACTTTGCTCTCACAGCAACGAAAAAGGGAGTGAAGGCTTATAAATCTGGAAAAACTGAAGAAATGTTTGATGCAGTAACAGAGATCGCAGCTGACGGCATTGACAAATTTGCAGACGATGACGTGAAACGTAAGGCAAACTTTGCTCTCACAGCAACGAAAAAGGGAGTAAAAGCTTATAAATCTGGAAAAACTGAAGAAATGTTTGATGCAGTAACAGAGATCGCAGCTGACGGCATTGACAAATTTGCAGACGATGACGTGAAACGTAAAGCAAACTTTGCTCTCACAGCAACGAAAAAGGGAGTAAAAGCTTATAAATCTGGAAAAACTGAAGAAATGTTTGATGCAGTAACAGAGATCGCAGCTGACGGCATAGACAAATTTGCAGACGATGACGTGAAACGTAAAGCAAACTTTGCTCTCACAGCAACGAAAAAGGGAGTAAAAGCTTATAAATCTGGAAAAACTGAAGAAATATTTGATACAGTAACAGAGATCGCAGCTGACGGCATTGACAAATTTGCAGACGATGACGTGAAACGTAAAGCAAACTTTGCTCTCACTGCAACGAAAAAGG